CATTTAATAAGTGATAAATGAATTTTTAAAAATCAAAGGAACACTTGTCAAAGAGCAAATTTAGTATTTAAGTATAAAATTTCCCCATAAATTGTTAGAATATTAATAAATGATAGTCTGAAATATGTAATTATAATAGTTATCTAATATGTGAAGTTACAAAATTGTTCCATGAATGAAGGTTGGATGGAAACTATTTTTCTCATACCAGTCTTTTAGCAATTAGACATGAATTTCCACACAGTTCTTAAGAAGCTCTTCAAATATTTTTCCAACTTTAAACTTTTAAAATTTAATTTTCCATCTTTTGTTTTCTCTTTTTGGAACACTTTTAGCGTTAACAACTGGTTAAGAAATCCAAGGTAAACTAAAAGCTTTCATTTGTGATACTTTCAATATTTGTTTACTTTTCAATATATGCCAAGTTTTTACTTGACCAGGTTTGAAAAAATGTAATAAGACAAACTAGAGTGTAAAATGTCTTTTTACTTTCTACCAAGAAAATACTCTCAAAACAAGTGAAGAGTGTGTGTCAACAAAGGACCTGTTTAACTTCTTTGAGATTGAAAGTAGGCTGTTTCAAAGCTCCATCTCATGATCCCTTTATTTTCAACTTCAAGTGTGCTATTTATAAAGTTTCTTAAAGATGGTATAAAAATAGAGATTTACCAAGAGCTATAGTTGGAGTCCTAAAGTTGCTTATGCTTTTTTTTTTTTTTTTTTTTGAGATAGAGTCTCGCTCTGTCACCCAGGTTGGAGTGCAGTGGCGCAATCTTGGTTCACTGCAGCCTCCTGGGTTCACGCGATTCTCATGCCTCAGCCTCCTGAGTAGCCAGGATTACTCGCACTGGCCATCATGCCTGGCTAATTTTTGTATTTTTAGTAGAGACAGGGTTTCGCCATGTTGGCCAGGCTGGTCTTGAACTCCTGACCTCAGTTATCTGCCTACCTCAGTCTCCCAAAGTGTTGGGATTACAGGCGTGAGCCACTGCACCCAGCCAACTTTTTAATTTTTCATTCTCAAACTTTCTTTCCAAATATTTACTACAGAATTTAACTACTGATAAATTGAAGTTACTGTAGGTTAAGAAACATTTTATTTCTAAATTTTAGGATAACATATACCAAAGAGAATGAATAAGCATCTCTTTACAAAGATGCTATATTCATGTAACAGGATGTTAATTGGGACTTTCTCTGTTGCTCAAAGACTAAAAACAAGTATCCCACTTTCGAGGGAAAATGAAGGCTGGACACAGTGGCTCACACCTGTAATCCCAGCACTTTGGAAGGCTGACGTGGGAGGATCATTTGAATCTAGAAGTTTGAGAACAGCATGGACAACACAGTGAGACTGTCTCAAAAAATTGAAGAACTAGCTGGGTGTGGTGACATGCACCTGTAGTCCCAGCTACTCGGGAGGCTGAGACAGGAGGATCACTTGAGCCCAGGAGGTTGAGGCTGCAGTGAGCTATGATCACACCACTGCAACTTTAGCCTGGGCAAAAGAGTGACACTTTGTTTCAAAAAAAGAAAATGAAAAATACATTGGGTATAAATACCCCTTCACTGTTCATGAAGAGACAGCTACCCTGAAATAATTACTCCAGTCCACCACTACTCTTTACCCTTCACCTCATCACACAGTCCTTATAAGCTGAAGTGTATATGGATGGATTTGGGATGGGAAGGAATGAGGGGACAGAAAGAGACAAAGAATGAGTTTGTCAAAGTCATAAGGAGTACTATTCCCCAAGTCACCCCCAAGGGAAGTAAAGAGAATGTTTAAGAGAATCACTTGCAAAAACTGAAGGCACCTGCCAAGGAAACAGGAGCTATTTGAGCCGATGGAAAGAGAGCTGGAAAAAAATATCAAGAAGAGGGGGAGGGCCAGGCGTGGTAGTGTGTGCCTACAGCGCCAGCTACTCTGGAGGCTGAATTGGGGGGATTGCTTAAGCCCAGGAATTCAAGGCTGCAGTGAGCTATGATCAAGCCACTGCCTGGGCAACAGAACAAAAGCCCATTTCTTTAAAAAAAAAAAAAAAAAAAAAAAAAAAGGTGAGCGAAGTAGGTGAGGATGGTGAAACACCTGTTTTCCCAAGATTTCTTAGGCCAAGGACATGAGTGTCCCGTGGGTCCAGTAGGCACCACTGGAAGTAGCTGGCCTTGAGCCTTCTTGCCAGTGCCTCCCCGGAGCAAACATTGGAAACAGTGTGTACTTATCATTCCAGTGGGATCTAAGGGGAGTTTGGAAGGGAGTAGGAGTGAATCTGCCATTTAAGAGAATGGAATCTGTACGACTGGGAAGACTCCTCGGCCACAGGGCCCCCAACAAGAACTCATACATGCACCTTACTAGAGAGCTAGCATTTGGAAGGCTGCTACTACCCCAGGAGCAGCAACAATCAGAGAAACAGTAACAGCCAAAAACAAACAAAAAAAGCCTACACTGAATGTTAAGTAAGTAAAAATTGCCAAGCCTTCTTGGGTTACTATTAAAGGTAGTGCTATGTAAGTAACAGACACATGTCCCTTTCTAGTTCTCCTTACCTCTCCTCAACTCAAATTTCCTCTTCGTGTAAGGACACCAGTCAGATAGGATTAAGACCTACCCTAAAGGTCTCATTTTAACTTAAAGTCCCTATCTCCAAATAGTCACATTATGAGGTAGTGGAAGTTGGGCTTCAATTCAATCAAGTATGAATTTTAGGTAAACACAATTCAGTTCATAGCACCAGGCAAGGGGGAAAATAGCCATTTTATATAACCACAAGCCTGAGATCGTTTGTCATAATCACATCAAGTGGTTCTGAATGGTTAAGTGCAGGACAAGGAGTGACCTGGCAGGCTGAAGTGCTGCACAAAGGCCAGCGTTTGCAGGGTTGGAGCAGTCTAGCCAAAAAGAGGAAGGGACTCTGAGGAAGACGAAGCCTTGGTTAAGATCCCTGACTCACAGCACCACAAGAGGTTCAGCTGGAAAACAGGGAGTGCTTGCCTGACCAAAAGTTAAATGTAAATGCACAGCCCTGTAATGTAGGGCACGAGAATAGGATGCTTCCTACAGTCAAACAGAACCCTGTTTCAATAATGAACAAAGAGACTGGGATATTCAAGCAATTATACAGTTGTGAGACAAGTAAAAAATGTGTTAATGAGACAAGTATGTGTTAGCTGATAAAAGGTAAAATTCAGCTAAACTCTGAATGAAGAAGGAGGTAGAGACAGGGAGAGGAAGCATATGCAGAAAAGGTCAGTTTGTTCTCTACTGACTGGCAGTTCCGGCTGACACAAGACGGCTTTGCAGCCACAGGTGGGTGGAGGAGAGCTGTTTCAGGGTAGGTTAGAGGAAGACACTGGGTCAACTAGACTTCTGTGATTACCTTTAGATAGTGCCATAATTAAATACCCGATTCTCTGTTCCAACGCCTGCAAATTATTTAAGTAAAAGTAGTTCAACTGCTCTGTCACTGCTTAGCCACATTTGAAGAAAAGTGGGCTGTTTCTTCCTACTGTACTGCCCTCCCCAATTCCTTCTCTACACAGCATATTAATCGTATCTACATAATTAGGAAATATCTGTAGATCTTTCAAAAAGGTATTCCCTAGCAGGTTTTGCCTTCAGCTATAGTATGCCATAATAAAAATCTATTCCCTTTGGCCCAGGCACAGTGACTCAAGCCTGTAATCGCAGCACTTTGGGAGGCTGAGACAGGTGGATCACCTAAGGTCAAGAGTTTGAGACCAGCCTGGCCAACATGGTGAAACCCTGTCTTTACTAAAAATACAAAAATTAGCCAGGCATGGTGGCGCACACCTGTAATCCCAGCTACCCGGGAGGCTGAGGCAGGAGAACTGCTTGAACCTGGGCAACATAGCAAGATTCCATCTCCGAAAAAAAAAACAAACAAAAACACTGTTGGCTTCACACTTTTACAGAAAATCTTAAAGATCTATTAAAGACCTATATTTAACACATATCAGAGATATTGTCAAATACTAATAAGACATGGCTGTTTTTCCTTTAAAATTTACTTTTTTGTAAGCCTGATTTTGACCATTAAAAAAAATTTTTTTAAGTAACTTCCTTGAGAGCCAGTTATAGTCACTAAAATTTTGACCATGTCTGATATGACATTTATCTAGAATGTATCTGTTGGAACTCTTCTTATTAGGACAAAACAACACCATATAGTTTACTCTTTTAAAGTAAGTTCCTTTATAGAACCCCATTCATCCCTACCTTTCCCTCATCAATCTGAACAGAATTGTAACATACACTGTGACCTGCAAGCAAAGATGAGGGACCTGGGTTACTAGGAGAAAATTATTTAACATTTGAGGAGATCAAAGTTAAAACACAATAGATGTTCCAGGACATATAAAAAAATTACACTCAGATTTCTGAGAAAGCTATGACAAAGAATTTATAAACCATTTCTTCATGTTCTAAAGGAAGGGTAACATCCCTCCACGACAAGTAGGGTTATGGGCGAGTTGTGCCCAATTTATCCAAGGTCTTCATCTGCTTAATTATAACCAAATGAAAGGATCTAAAAACATCCGTAACACACAGCACTTAACTCATCAAGAACACACTCAACATCACCAAATAATTTATTTGGACTCAGAATTAAAAGAACATTTGACAGTTATGAAATGCATGTTTATTCTGAAACATCTAACTAGTTGTACAGCTAACCCATGACAAATTACCAGATTAATTTTACTTTATTTCTTCAGGCCTGGGGTTTTTCGATGACTTCAAATTTGGGATCTAAGAAGAAGGGAAAAAAAGGGTCAAGCTTAGCTATACTGCAGGAAAATGGATTATGTAAAATGCTCAAGATTTAACTCATCAATCTTCTGATTTTGTTAGTAAATATCTACTGTTTGTAAACATTTACATAGAAATATAGCTAAACATTTATGCAACACTTTCTATGAGCCACGCATTCCATTAATTGACTTTGCATATATTATGTCATTTAACTACATATGCAGAAGATACTATAATTCTCCCCAACTGTCAGATGAGGAAATATGCAACAGTTAATTACTCAAGATTACACAACTGAAAGTGATTGTCAGGATTCAGGATCAGGCAATTCAATTTCAGATCCCCACCATTTAATCGCTATGTTATGTGATTTCCTATACTGCTCTTATTCTAATGGCAAATATTTAGCCGGCAGCTTCTCAGGCACACATCATGGTCCTAATAAATTCACGTTAACACTGTCATTCGATTCTCCAAAAATCCAAGTAAGGGTAAATATTCTTCACTTATCCCCCACAAGAATGAATCTGTGATTCACAAGATGTACCTTCAAATTTGAAGGTGGGAAATGTATTCATGTCTGCTTTACCAAACATTTGCTTGAGCTTAAAAAGCTCCTTCTCCAGCTCTTGCTGATACTCTGGACCAGTATCAACAGGTCCTCCAGATGTCCTGTTAAGTAAATGAGCAAACAAAAATTAATTTTATGTACTAGTTTACTAAAACAAAATTACTCTTCACCACATTTCAATAGATCTTTTTTTTGTTTTCTTTTTTGAGACGGAGTCTTGCTTGGTCGCCAGGCTAGAGTGCAGTGGCACGATCTTGGCTCTCTGCAACCTCTAACTCCCTGGTTCAAGTGATTCTCCTGCCTCAACCTCCTGAGTAGCTGGGACTACAGGCGCCGCCACCACACCCAGCTAATTTTTGTATTTTTAGTAGAGAGGGGGTTTCACCATGTTGACCAGGATGGTCTTGATCACCTGACCTTGTAATTCGCCCGCCTCGGCCTCCCAAAGTGCTGGGATTACGGGCGTGAGCCACCACACCCAGCCAACAGACCTTTTTAAAGCATTCATGTAGTCGAAGAAAAAACTTCAGAAAGAAAAGAAGTATTTCCACTTCAATTTCAATTCAAACTATTTTATTATGATGAGGTTTCACATAAATGAGGTAACTTCAAACAAATCTCTAACATTCAAGGTTTCTTAGTATCACAGACACTAAGTCAGAATTTCTCAGGGTCTAAGTTCCAATAAGATGTATCATTAAGTCTACGGGCTCTGGAGTCAAAGACTGGTTCCATTTGAGTGTAAGTTCAACTATTCAGCAACTGTGTAAACCTGAGCAAGGCACAGAGCCTCTAAATTTTAGTTTCCACATCTAAACATGAAGTTCCTACCAAACAAGGGTGTAAACGCACACATACCTCTAAGCACAGTGCCCAGCACACAGTGAATACTCAATTATTATCTACTATTATCATTTGCTTTAAGTCAGCCATCACTAAATGGCTTTTAAAGAACTTAGTAACTTTTAAGTTTCTACAATAGGGGTTCTATTAAAGAAGCAAATTATTTCCTACCCTCAGAGATTTTGCAATTTAGAAGAAAAAAATTACATGTTTATAAATATTTATGCTGTAAAGGAGTGATGTGGTGAGCTTCAAAGACATGGTTTAACAAAAAGCTATTCAAGTTGAGGAAGAGATCACTTTTGCTAAGCTAATCAGGGAAAATTTCATTTTAAAAAGGTGGCATTTGAGAAACATCAGGCATTTGGGGCCAGGGTTTATTTTGAGACCTTCTAAGATGGAAAAAGCAAAGACATAGAGGTGGTAAAGGATTGGCTATATGTGGGGAATGCTAAGGAGTCTAGATGGAAAAATTAACAAACCCCAGATCATGAGAGGCCTGGAATGTTAGGCCTGGGAGTTTGTATTTTATTTTATTTGCTAAGCAATAAAATGACAAAATTAGATGTGTGCAGTTTGGGAAAATAAATATAGCATCATGGACCAGCAGCAGGGCCAATTGGGTCTAATTAATTATTTGAAGAAATTCTTCTGTTTTTGTCATAAATATTACTGCCTACCTGGCAATGAACAATATTCTAAACGTAAAAAAAAAATGTACACGTGAAAATTCCTTCAAGGGTAATAACATTTTTACACATGCCTATGATCAAAGTATAGAGTCTTATTTAAGTTAAAGAACGTGCACAAAAAAATACATAGGTGGCTCCAATTTAAGAACTTGTTAACAATGTTTCTTGTTAGAGATCCAATTTTCTTTCAGATTAGCACTGTCCAATAGAACTTTTTGTGATGTTAGAAATATTATCTGTGTTGTCCAATATGGTAGCCACTAGCCATATCTGGCTATTGAGCGCTAGAAATAGAGCTAACATGTATGAGAAAATGAGAAACTGAATTTATATATACATTTAATTGTAATTAGAATTTGAATAGTCTCATGGATAATGGCAACCGAAATGGACAGTGTGGTTCTAAATAGATCCTTCAACTAGATACTCTAATACTGGTTACTGATGGATGATGGCTATTTTAACTTTAATATGCACTCTTGTGATAAAAAGAGGCCAGAAATCATCTACCTCCTCAAATGAATGTAAGTCTTGCTGCTTATCTTGTTTATTACTATATCCCTAGGCTCTCACATGGTGACATGGTGACTGGGACAAAGCAGTCACTCAGAAGACACTTGTTCATTTCACTAGCAAATACTAGGCACGCTAATGTACTGAATGATTTAATTTTTATAATATCCTATGAAATGGGTAAGTACTATCATCATCGCCATTTTAGTAAGAGAAAACTGTCCTACAGAAGGTAAACCTGCCTGAGGTCATAGAGCTCATTAGTGGCAGTACTGGATACCAGCCCAGGGTCTATCCTCAGAACTCTCCAAGTATGTGTTTGCACAAACGAATCAATGACCCACAAACAAGACTCCTTAGATTTCGGGTACACCTAAGAATTCACTTCTTACTAGATAGGCTTTTAAGGACAGTTAAAATGATGCAAACAGCATCAATACTATAACGTAACACCACATTTGGACAGAAGACACTCAAAATTCCCTGACGAGTCCTGTACATCTGGTTACTTCATAGTATGATTTTTGGCAAATTCTAACTGTCAGCCTTGGTTTTCCCATATATAAAACTGGGGTAACATCTATAGGGTTGTCAAAGCACATAGTAACTTACTACATTTTTAATCCCTTCACTATTTCTCCTCAGTTTTGGCAACAGTAACACCTTTGTTAGTTACCTCGCCTCAAAAGTCGGTTTTCTTTTATTGTTCCCTCTCCTCTTCCTCTCCAGCAGCTCACCAAAACCAGTCATCAGTGTTTCAATGTCTTGACTCTGTCACTTTTACATTATCACTGCTATAAAGTCAAGGTTCTCATCAACTAATGTTTAGGTTACATTTTGCTAACATATCTATCTTTGCTCTCTTCCCATTTCAAACCTAAGTTATCCTCCTAATTCAGAGTAATCTTCCATCCCCACAGTCATGTTCAAAAAGCTTTAATTTCTCATGAATGCCTACCACATATCTTACTTGCTCAGTCTATAATCAAGGCCTTCCATAATCCCTCATTCTAACCCTATACCATCCTTATACTCTTCATACACCCTATACTTCAGGGAAACAGAATTATACCATTCACCAAATGTATCTTGTGCTTTCTAGTTTTCATGCCTTAGTTCACACCATTCTTTCCTCCTAAAAGATACTCTCCTCCTACCCTCATTTATCTGTCCAACCTTCATACACTGATCTTTAGAACCTAGCGTAAACCCCTGGGTTTAGTGTCTACTGAAGGCCTCTTGTGGGTTTGAGAACCATTTCATGCTATAAGCAAAATCATGTAAGTAAATTCTTCATGTTTGTTTCTTTAAACTGGGAAGATGATCCACAGTTGTCCATGAGATTCTCAAGAGGGATGAATACCCAAACACTGCCTTCCAAAAAGCCTCTAAAATGCCTCTAGCTGGAAAGGAGTATTCTTTCCTATGAACTCCCCAAGCACTCAACGTTTCCCTATCTTAGCACCTAACTCATTTTACCTTATATTGTATTTATTTGCTTACTAGCTTTCTACTCCTGTCAGACTTTAAGAATATTGCAAAAACATGCCCTGTGGCCCATCACAGTTAACAGCCAAGTGCTTTACACACAGTAGACAACTATGTGAAAGAAAATGGAACTATGAATTGATGCACATCACTCTTCCTAAGACTTCGGCTTTGGACCTGATGACGGCTAAGGTGGTCATTCATTTCCAAAACTAGGGTTCTACAGTTGTTTTTCTTGGACTTACATTATGTCATTTCAGAGTCTTTTGTCCTTTAATATATATTCTCAGAGATCTTAACTATGGAAACAGCGTTTTAAAAAAAAGAGCTGTGCTTATACATTTCTCCCAAATTACGAGGTCACAGAAAGGCCACTAAATTGAGGGCTAAAATATACTATGATAATACATTTTTCCCCAATTAGTTTTATGATCTTAGGCTAATTAATGTCTAAGGGAGTTACTTCTTTCAAACTTAGCTGCTAAATGATTTCCAAGACCCTCTGTATTTCTATGAATTGATGTGGTTTATAATATATGACATTACAGTAAGGATATATTTGAAATGGCAATAGATTTAATAGGATTTTCCCTTATAACTAGTACGAGGAAGATACAGTTTATGACTTAAAAAAATCAAGATCCTTACCTTCTTTTCTGAGGGCACCTAATGAACCTCTGTGTCAGAGACGAGCTCAGTGAAGGTCTGACACTTTCAAATACCACGTCATTTTTTATTACCACCTTGGAGCTTACATACTTTGAATATTTATATTTACACTGTAGTTATTTATTCACTTACTGTCGCTTAGATTTGTATTCTCTAATCTTGTCCACAAAGAGTTTCTGTACAGGATCAAGTTCCTTATTAAATGCTACTGCGGTAACACCAATGTTCCTCCGAAAATGGACCGAGACTGCTGACCGAATGATAGAGGAGAACCTGAAGAGCCTCTGAAGAATCATGCTGATTCTGTTACTGAAAACAAGCATCAGAAATGTTAATATACTTATCAGAAATCACCTCTAAATATATCATGAGATTCAAATTCTACTAATTGCTACAGAATTACATCATTATCAGATCTCAGTCTATACCTGACCACAGTTCCCTTCTCCTCCTCATTCCCCATTGCAAGATTTTTAGGTCTTAACCAAAAGTCCCTGGGATATAGGAACAGTTAAAAACTCAGGCCTGAAGCTTCATCAAGGTTAGAGCACAAAATGTGAGGTGAGGTATTTCTTCTCCCTTGAACTTAGTCTTGGATCAGAGAAAACAGTAGAGGTAGACTGTTGCAACACTGTCCACTCCTAACAGGAAAAACACACTGGTCCCCAAACTGATGTACAAGGTTTCCCATGCTTCAGCCAGGCATGATAACCTGAAAGCGTGGACTTCTCAGGCCCATAGAGGGAGAAACTGCTCTGTCCGTTACAACAGGATTCCAGCCGTTTAAGAATACTGTAACAACTAAATCAAAGTCCAGAAGAACCAGCAAAGAAAAACAGCAGCCAGACCAAATGAGCTGTGCATGACACGGGGGAGGGGCTGGCAGTCCAATTTTACCAGTGAAATAAATTGGTGAAGGAGATGGAAGCCTGAACTTTATAAACAAGGACTTATGGCCAGGTGCTGTGGCTCATGCCTGTAATCCCAGCACTTTGGGAGGTCGAGGCGGGCAGATCACCTGAGGTCGGGAGTTCGAGACCAGTCTGACCAACATAGAGAAACCCCGTCTCTACTAAAAATACAAAAATTAGCTGGGCGTGGTGGGGCACGCCTGTAATCCCAGCTACTCGGGAGGCTGAGGCTGAAGAATCGCTCGAACCCGGGAAGCAGAGGTTACAGTGGGCCAAAATCATGCCATTACACTCCAGCCTGGGCAACGAGAGCAAAACTCCGTATCAAAAAAAAAAACAAAATAAAAAATAAGGACTTAAAGACTTTCGAATCCCAAGACTTCCTTAAGCTAAAATATATTATTTTCTAACTAAAACATTTCAGTAGAGGACAATCCCTGTTGAGATTTACTTTAGTGATTTAAAGATCAAATGCAAAAAGTATTCCAAATTACAACAAATAGGTGTAAACAGGAATTCTAGAAGAAAAGGAATAAAGAGGGCCAAGCGTGGTGGCTTGTGTGTGTAATCCTAGCACTTTGGGAGGCCAAGGCAGGTAGATCACTTGAGGTCAGAGGTTTGAGACCAGCCTGTCCAACATGGTGAAACTCTGTCTCCACTAAAAATACAAAAATAAATTAATCCCAGCTACTTGGGAGGCTCAGGCAGGAGAATCGCTTGAACTAAGGAGGTGGAGGTTGCAGGGAGCCCAGATCACACCACTGCACTCCAGCCTGGATGACAGGGCAAGACTCCAACTCAAAAGGTAAAAAAAAAAAAAAAGGAGTGAGAGACCATAAATAATTAGAAGAATACATTTTTCTCAGATCAAGGCCGAGTCTATACATTGACAGGGCTTGCCAAACCCCATATTGGAATGGTGACAAAATGCTCACAATGCACCACAGCCTGGTAAAATTTCTGAATCATTTTTTTTTTTTTGAGACAGGGTCTCACTCTGTTGCCCAGGCTGAACACAGCTCGTTATAGCCTCGACCTCCTGGACTCATGCAATCCTTCCACCTTAGCCTCCCAAGCAGATGGGAGCACACTTGTGTGCCATCACACCAGGCTAATGTTTACTTTTATTTTTTTGTAGAGACAAGGTCTTGCCATATTGCCCTGGCTGGTAAAATTTCTGAATCTTCGAGTGAAAACCTGATATGCTAACATGCTTCCATGCCTTCCCAAATTTCCTAATGACAATACCAGTCATCATCGTGTTGACACTGGACTTCTACTAAGTCATAATAGGACTAGTGGAAGTATACACGCTATGTTATTGGTCTAAAGTAATACAGAAATTAGATATAAGTATTTAGAGGTCAGGCGAGGTGGCTCACCTCCCAGCACTTTGGGAGGCTGAGATGGGAGAATCACTTGAGGCCAGGAGTTTGAAACCAGCCTGGCCAACATGGTGAAACCCTGTCTCTATTATTAAAAAAAAAAAAAAAAAAAATTAGCCAGGCATGGGCACACCTGTCATCCCAGCTACTCGGGAGGCTGAGGCAGGAGAATCACTTGAACCTGGGAAGTGGAGGTTGCAGTGAGCCAGGATCACACCACTGCACTCCAGCCTGGCCTACAGAGCAAGAGCCTGTCTCAAAACAAACAAAGAAATTAGAAATAAGCATTTAGAAACTTATAACGACTCAAGAGGTAATTTGTTTGCTGAATTTAAAAATAAAAAAAATAGAGCTTATGAACCGGGTGTGGTGGCTCATGCCTGTAATCCCAGAACCTTGGGAGGCTGAGGAGGCAGGATTGTTTGAACTCAGGAGTTCAAGACCAGACTGGGAAACATGGAGAGAACCTGTCTCTAAAAAATTAGACGTTGTATTTTAAGTGACTTCATTGTTTTGTTTTTTAAATTTCATTTCTTTTGTAATTCATTTTCACTGTACTCAAAAGTGTCCACAAGAGCGGGTGTGAGAATGGCCCTTTACCACTGACAGTTTGAGAAGCACTAGCTAGAAAACTGTAGAGTAGCACAATAGTTCTCAAAATGGGGTTGGGGGTGGGGGAAGAGGTGAGATTTTCCCTCCATGGAGACATCTGGCAATGTCTTTAGACATTTTTGGTTGTTCTCACCAAGCTGAGTGCTACTGGCCTATAATGAGTACAAAGCCAGGAATGCTGCCAAACACTCTATAACGACAATAACAGCCCTCTCACCCACAAGAATTATCTGGTCAAAATGTCAATAATGCCAGGGTTGACAAACTCTGGAATGGCATGTAAAAATTATCAAAAGAAATCCTACAATGAGCCAGGTGCAGTGGCTGATGCCTGTAATCCCAGCACTTTGGGAGGCCAAGGCAGGAGGATCACTTGAGCCCAGAAATTCAAGACCAGCCTAGGCAACATAGTGTGACCTCATCTCTAAAAAAAACCAAAACAGCCAGGTGTGGTGGTGAGTGCCTGTAGTCTCAGGTACTTGGAGGGGCTCAGGTAGGAGAATGCTTGAACCCAGGAGGCAGAGGTTGCGGTGAGCCAAGATCGTGCCATTGCACTCCAGCCTGGGCAACAAGAGCGAAACTCTGTCTCAAAAAAAAAAAAAAAAAAAAAGAAATCCTACAATCAATACAATCAAAATATGCTTCACCTGAATGAAAGCAAAGTATTTGAAGAAATTAAAGAATTCATAACATATCACTTTTATACCCCATTAGGGAAAAACACTTGAGAAAAGGCTACAAGCAAACAACAAATGACCTTTCATAAGGTCATGTGCCACTTATTAGCATTCCTATGTTTAAACATACAGAAACTGAGGATTAGCATTATCTGGTCAAAGTTACACAGCAAAATCTAACTTAACACAAATATGTAAAAAAAAAACAAAAAATTGTGCAACTCAATGCCTACTTTCCTTTCTAGCAAACTAAGGACATGCTTAACATTCAGCAATAAGTTCACCCAACATTTGCTCGGCCCTATATACTGTGTAAAGTACTTCCATATATATCCTCTCCTTGTACCCTTACAGCAATACTCTTAAAAGAGTTAGAAGAAAGTGTTCTTATCCCTGCTTTACATATGATAAAACTATATCTAAGAAAGGTGAAGCTGCACATAGTCACACAGTTAATTTGCTCTAAGTCTGACTGCAGATGTTATTCCTGCTACAACATGGGTAAACTTCACTTTCATTGTTTCAATTATCTAAGTGCCTATGATTCCCTAATCGCATTTCTAATTTTAGTATTCATCCTGAACTCCAAATCTATACACAGTATTCAACAGTTCTCCTCTCCCTTATAAGTTCTACGAACTCATCCAAAGAACGAACACATAATCTCATATCAAAACTTGTTCCTTCTCCTTTAATCATTTTCATTTTTTTCACTGATCAGTGAATGCGTATTGTCCACTGACACGCAGAAGACAGTCACAAATAGCTGTGAAATACCACCTGCCATAAATTATCCATTCCAGTACCATCGGGTGCCACAAGAGAATATGATAGCGTCTGACATGATCAGAAAGACTGGGAAAGGCAACAGTAAGAAAACACTAGTCTGAGCAGAGGCCTCGTCGTGGGCGGGGGCATGGTTCTCCTATTTATAGTGATGACTGACCGGCCATAGGTTAGTAGGTTCGCTGCCTCGTCAGTGCATATTCCTAAGAACAATCCATAAAGTCGCCTAACGAAGTGTTAGCACTATCATCGTTTTTAGGTGGGATGCAAACTTTCAAGATTGTAACTATTCTTTTCCCTCTTATGGTGCCCGTTCTGCCTAAGTAGCTTAGACGGTCCCGTGCGCCCGGGTAGGCCTGGCCGAAAACCTCTCCCGCGCGCCTGACCTTGGGTTGCCCCAACCAGGATGCGGGCCCGAGACCCCCAGGCCTCCCTTACCCCCGCGCCGCCCCATTAGCCCTCAGAGAGGGTATCGATCTTATTTCTGGGTCTAGGCAAACTCCCAGGTCTAGAAACGTAGAGGTCAGCTGTGACCCCGGGCCAGGCAGCGCAGGTATCCAGGACACAGAGCTGCTCTCTCCTAGTAAAGGTGAGAGGCAGCCCAGGCCTCGTGAAGAAACCCAGAACTGGAGTCCCAAGAGGCCACGCTGATCTAGCTACCCTCCCAGTCACCTTGCACTCAGTCCCGAGCTGCCAAAGCCTCCGCCGCCACCGCCACCGCTCTACTTCCGGCCCTGGCTCCGCCCCCACACGCCTACCCGCCATCGCAATGCATTATGGGCCGCCGTTTCAGTCGGTCGACGCTCACCGGACAGGAAGCGTCTCGGAGACAGTCTGCGACCGGACGGGTCTAGGTGAGACAGAAGCCACACAGGAGGAGGAAGTGGAGGGTAAGTGCTTCCGGGTCCCCTGGCAAAGCCTCCGCCATCTTTTCTTCCCCTAATTTGACCCGTTCTTTTTCCCCTCCTTGAAACCTTGCTCTGTACGCATGCGCCCTTTGACTGGCCTTTCCCCTAGTTCAAGCTCCCCTTCGAGTCAGCGTCCTGTTCGTTAGGGTTATCGAGGTGTATAATGGTGCAGGGAAAGTGAGACTATGTAAAACAGAGCGGATTGGGGCGTTGTGCTTCCTTGTGCCTCGTGAGCCTCCGTTGCCTTGGGCGTTCGTTTTGCGCACCCTGCTGGGAGTTGTAGTCCTGGACCCGGAGGTGCCTGGGAGGCGGGAGGGGGGTTGGGGCTTCTCAGCGCCGATTCCGCGGGAAGGGCCCTGGGGCCTCACACTTGTAGTCGCGGGAGCTGCAGGTCTTACCCGGAGAGACACTGCACGTGGAGCCCGCGCCGCTGCCGTTCTTAGCCGGCTCTGGAGTGCGGGCGGGGGCAACAGGGCCGATTCCAGAGTGGGTGAGTGCGGCCTCCGGGGAGGAGGGGAACGCGGGCCCGCGCGGGCCGGCCTCGTTCCGGGGCCTTTTCCCCCACAGCGGCCCCCCCGTGGCCGCCTCTGTGTTTTGTTTCCGCTGGTCCCCGACGCTGTGACTCCCATTTCCGTTCGTGGAGACTTGAGGGAGTCGGGTGGGGAGGGGCGGGAGAGGCTGTGCGGGGAGCGAAGGGGAGGGGCGGGGGGCGAGCGGCCTGGAACCCGGGGGAACCGGGCGCCGCCGGGACCCGCGCCGGACGGGTCGCCTGTCGCCGCTCCCTCCCTTCCGCGTCCCCTCCTCGCGGGTCCACACTCCGCCGCAGTCTCAGCCTGCTCAGCTGGGATATGGTCCTGATGCCCCCAGATTGTAAGAGCAAAAGGCAGACCCTGTCTCATCGCGGGACTCAGCGATTCACTCACTTCAAATCCAGTGTCTTTGTAGAAAACACAGTTACACGAAAATCATTTATCAGCGTATATGGTAGTCATCTGGGTTTGGTTTTTTTTTGTGTTTGTTTTTAAGCGAGGAAGTAAACCAAAGAGATAACAATGGGTTGTCTACTTTTAAAGTTTTTTGTGTGCTGGAAGACACGCTGTGTGTGCGTGTTTGGATTTAGGGACCCCAGTTTGATCGGGTTAGCGACCGAGAGGTCAGTGCCTAATATTGCACTGCAAGATGATTAGAAATGTAGACATAAAGTTCACTTCATAAATAGTTTCCACTAATAGCAGTAGAGCTGACTCGTGAGAGGAGCAAAGATTTAGCAGGATTCACTTGAGCGAATTGTAGAACGAGGCGGTGATAACATTCCTAGGTAGTGTTCTCTTGAACTTCAGAAGAAACCGCTCAACTCTTCAGCAATTGCTTGAGAGACCAGCCTGTCTCTCAGGGTTCCCTCCAGGCTTTCCAAGCTGCTTTATTTTTAGACAGACAGTGACGCTGGGTGGACTTAAGGCAGTTTTACCTGAATTGTGTATACAAGAGCATCTGTCATGAGGCATGTATGGTAATGAAGTAATTAAATCGTGAGCTAGATGTTAGGTTGAAGTAAGTCATCAGACCGAGTAGTAAGTTAAAACTGTTGACTTTAGCCTTCCCTCAACTCTTTATATATAAAACTCCAAACCTATGGAAAAATTGGGGAAAAAATCATACAGTGAACACCCATATACCCTTCACCTGGGGGTCCCAACTGTTAATCTTTCACTGTATGTACTTTCTGTCTTCATATTAAATAGATGTGCATGCTTTGCTTTTTCTTAACTGCTACCTTTATTTTTGAAATAATGTCTTTTAATTTCCTCAGACACTGAAAAGCATTTATTTAATAACTTAGGAAAATGTGCAGTAAATTTCGCAGGTACTTCTACACTCCACTTATATTTATAATATATTGGGAAAAAATGTTCTAAGTTCTGTAATTAATAACGCACTCCAATGAAGGACAATTCTCAACTTTATCTGTAATTTCAAAAGGGAATGTTACATCTATCTGTATTTTAAAAGACACTAGCTGTTCCCAGAATTTTTCGTTAAATTCAAGTTGAGTTTGTATCCCTTCTTGTGAAACATTCCGAACCCCAGGTTGGATTTAATCCAGCAGAACCAGAGTGTCAGTGAAAGTATATGAAATTGTTCTGTGCAGTTCTGGCGGGGGCAGCCCTTAGATGGAGAAACTGCTAGTAATTTTCTCTCAGTTTTCCTAAGTGTTGACGTAGAAGCCTGGGGAATTGGTTTCAGAAAAAGAGATAAGACTCACTCAAAAACTGATATGTAAGATTGGGACTATTTCTCAAATCTCTGTTTTGCTTCTCTAGACTAAGCATAGATAGAGAACCTGGAGAGAAAGATCATTTAAGAGACTGAGTAATATTTTTTGAAAGATCATTTAAGAAACTGAATTT